TTTTTTTTTTTTTTTTTTTAATTGATGGGAGCCATTTGTCAGCAACTCTCTTCGACCGCGCGATGATTGAGACAAATTTTAATTGGAAATGTCGCATAAAAATCTGTATCCGTACAGAGTAATATGTTAAAGAATATGTTTTAATCTTTCTTAATTTACTTATAATTTTTAAAGAGTTTTTATAATTTTATCTTTATACTTTTTTGTTTTTCAATATCTTTTCGCTTTGGCTCGGAAGGAAACACTATTTATCATCTGTTCTTTGTTACACAGAAAATGTTTTTTAATATTCTTATATAACATTATGAAAAAAGATGTTTCATTTAGGATTTCTTTCTCTCTCTCTCTCTCTTCTCTCTCTCTCTCTCTCTCTCTCTCTCTCTCTCTCTCTTTAAGATAAATTATATAGAAGACTTTCTCTTCTCTTTCTTCATATTCTTCTTTGATATTTCATTCTATAAATGAACCATCACTGGACGGGAGACTTTGATTAAAAATATTTTTTAGGTATTGTGAATAATTAAATAATGTAAATAAATTCTTTACAATTTATGACATTCTTTATAATTTAACTTAAACGTTTGATTTGAAAAATAAATTGGAAATTATTATTTCTTTTTTTTCTTCTTCAGTTGCTTCAGTTGCGTGCATTCCGTTTTCTCAATCTGAGATGAGATTCTCATCTCAATGATAAACACAGACCGAACCATATCTTTTTATTTGCTTGACATATCACATCTTGTGAAAAACCGTGTTTATCGCGTCGTGTGATAAACGCAACCGCAACAAATGTACCCTCGTTCCGTTTGGAAAGCGAGTGAGATTTAATTCGTCCCCTGATAATAATCACAGCTCGAGCAACACGCGCGAGAAAATTGACACAGAGCCGACGAATGGAAGAACGGCAAGAAACCGACAGCCGGCTAAACGCGATATTTTACGGCGCGTCGCAGGTAGAGCCGCGGCATCTCGAAAGGCATGGACGAGAAAGAAGAAACGTCGCTTTTGCGAACGGGAAGTGGCGCGGTGTGGCACTACGACGGAATGCAAATGGAGGCTCGCTACGCGGAGACCGCGAGACAAGAAGAGAAACGAAACAAAGCGCCGAGCGGGTAAAGAGCCGCGCTTGGCGGAAGCGCGCTCGCGAAAATTGACGATAAATTATGGAAAAAAAGCGCTGAACTGGCAATTTCGTTAATACATTAAATTCTTTATGGATCCTCGTAATGCGGCGTATTCCGCATGCTCGGCTATCTCCGTTGGCGATCGATTCCGTCAACAAATCTCTCAGGTATGATCCCGATGGATCAACGGTGGTGAATCGTTGACCGTTCCGCGGCGATGTTCTAATTATTACCCCCGGGGTAATCAAACGCTCAATTCATTACGGCAAATGAGCGGGGATTTTAAACTTATTGTGGTTTAGATTTGCGTAAACATATCTCAAATGGCGCATTTTTAGCGCCAACGACCGTTAGTCTTGATTGTCGAATTCCTTCTCGCAAGCGATTTTTTTCTTTTCTCATCTCTTTGTGGTTGCGCAACAATTGCGAACTAGTATACTTCAGGCTACAAAAACGTTGATTCCCTAGAGTCGATCGGGATGATCGATCTCTAAATGTAATAAACATCGAGAAAAATAAAATTCGAGAATTAAAAGTTAAGGTTTTAAAATTAAGATTTTAAAGAAAATTAAAATTAAAATGGAAAATATGGAATATATATAATGGAAAATAATAATAAAGTACACCATACATTTTTTTTTTGCAAATAGTCTTTATTCGCGATTAATTTTGTTATAAATTATACAGTACAGTCAAATATATACATAGTATATAGTAATTACGGGGCAATTTGTCACTCTTCTTCTACTGCGTGCGAAGGTACTTGCGATTCGTGTACTTTCATCCGGAAAAGAATCCCGGAGGATAATGATCGTGACCATTAGTTTTCCCTGTAAAAAGTTTCGCGCATCTTCGCGCGGTGTCATTTGCAGTCTGACTCGCGTTTGTCTGACACAACCCTTCTCTCCAAGATTTATCAATCTCTGTTAACTCCGCAAACTCTCGGTGCACGACGCCGAAATCGGGCTAATCCGCGGTCGAATGTTGCTCGATGCGGATAATAACGCAGCCCTGACAGACGAAGCGGCCTGCGGTTGCGGCATTCTACACGGCTGTAAACACCGTTACGATTTCAAACAAATGTTGTTCTCCCGCAGCCAGCCAGCCAGCCAGCCAGCCAGCCAGCCAGACGGCCGACGATTCTCGAAGGTGCTCCGCCGTGATCGAATGACTTTGCGGGCCGGCAAGACACGCACTCCTGTTTAACGCAAACCACCATCGACACGCACGCACGCATGATACGATGCGTTGCGAGGTGATGTAGTGTGTACCACGTTTCACGGTTTCACCAGTGTAACTATCAATCCATCAGAATCGTAGTCTCATGATGGATGATATCAGAAAATCCCTCCGCTCCGACCTCGCGTATGCGGTAATACCTTGTAAAGCTTTGTTTAATTTTATAACGTGATTTTACGTACAGCGCGATTTTATTTGAATTCGTAGGCAAAATTTCAGGAGTGACAAATATTGTTGGCTGATGCTATTTGCGTCCTGGATTGTACGCGCGTCAGAGCGAAAGATTTAATTTATGCAAGAGTTTATTTGTGCAAGATCGTTCAAGTTGTATTTGCTATGGCACGACAACACTTGGCCGAGCGTATTTATATGGAAATCCTATTTGAACATGTTGTTTTTGAAAACGGGACAACGCAAACGCAACTTCGAACAAACTCCGAATGTTGAGACGTGATTTAATTAAAGAGCAAAAGAGAGGATAATCGCGAGGAGAGGAAAATCGGAAAAATCTATTCTTTGCCATAAACGTGAGCGCGTTACACGAAATATGGACAAATTCGCGCGGAAAAAATCCAAGTTTTTTTTCCCAACTAATATTTTTCTTTTTATTTTTTTAATTAAGTCGTTCTACTTTTTACTGTAACTTCTTTTGTTTATTCGCATATGAAGTCAAATCAGTTGCGCGTGAGACGCTGATGCACATACTTGATGATAAGCCAACTACCGTGGTATCTCTTGATACCACGTGGCCGACCTGCTCTCAATGAGCGCTAATGGAAAATATTCCTCTCCGTTTTCGCGGTTTTAATGCGTTGTACCGTTCGGTCTATTACTCTTTGATTTCAGAATATCCCTCTCTCGCGCGCATGTGCGTGTATGTGCGTGTATGTGCGTGCCATACCTCTGTCTGTGCCTCTACCGTGTCATTTCGTCTCGAAATCAATTACCAGTCGTATGATATACGAATTATACGAGTAATAAAAGAAGGTAGTGGACTTTCAGACTGCAAAACGTCTAGAAAATATTCTGTTCTTTTTTTTAATCCTTTAAAATTGCATTTCTTTTACACGCGGATCTGATTATAAAAGTTTATGTAGAATGAAATTAGAGTGAAGTTAAAGGAATAATTCCTGTGAAACTTTCCTCTTATTTTTATGATCATGGAAAATAATAAAATACTTACTAGATAAATTCAAAGATAATATTTGGTTAATGAATATGTATTTATATTGCATTACATTTTATTATCAAATTAAATCAATCATTTATTAAATTCAATCAATCAATTATTTTTAAATCTGTCATATTTACTGATCAATCACAAACGTTTATTACCTTTTATTATTAATTTTAATGGTACATTTTGTATGTGAAAATTAAAATTTTATGTAAATGTATTTATGAAATAACAATCTCCATTTAAGAAAGACGTCACATTATGGTAATAGTATCTTATTTATCAGTGTGAGTCTTGACTACATGACTAGATGACTACAAAATGATTATATATGATTATTAATCATATAATTTAGATTACTATGTTGTAGTCATTTTTCTACTCTCCTTACTTTTATGTTTATCAATAAACGACGGAAAATTATGCAGATAAGTAAAATGAGACGAGGCAGTCGCTTTGTTGTCGCTTTGTGATGTAGAAAGAAAATATTTTTGGCGGCAAGGTAGCGAGATAGGAGATGCGGCGATCATGAACAATCTCGAGGAGCTTCTTCTCGATACCTTGACGGATAGACATTCTGCGTCACGTTTTTCTTTATCGTGACTTCGGAGCTCATGAGCAGGTGTCGACCTCGAATCGGATGGCGAGCTACCAGGACGCTATCGTTTCTTGCATCCCAGCGACATCGTCGTAAACAATTTAACGGCCTTGGTTTGCCTCGTATTTTTTGCATCGCACACTTTTCCGATCATTCGTCCGTCTACCGATCAATCCCAGAAGCACTTACTTAAACATTTTATTTATTACAACGTCAACTTTGATCCTACATACATATTACATATTCGGTATTCTTTTTTTTTTTTTTTTGTTGATTTCTAATTTAATTCAGACAAGAAGAGAAATTAAATTGTCTTCTTCCGTAAATTTGAGATATTTATATTAATATCGATTTTCGAAAGTAAGATAATTTAGTGTCATTTTTTTTTATCCTTCCGTATAAATTGGCATTGTGTGGCATTTAATATTCTAGATCTCTCAAGCATTGAGTCAGAATTCCGGAAACAATTTTAGTCACAAAGTCAACGAACTTGTGCGCGTCGCGAAAGGAACACGACACGGTAGCACTTTGTTTTACATTACAACGTATACCGCTTATTGTCGCTAATCTGTAATAATGCCTGTGAGACAGAGGGAGTGAGAAAGAAAGAGTAAGCTCCGTTCTCTAAAACGCGTATCTCGAGCTCGGAGAGCCGTCATTGTCGCTCGAAAATTCCACGCGGATGGCCACGAAACGTGACGCGCCGTGTCATTTCGTAACGGGAAACGGGACCGGCGTACGCGATGAGGTAAAGACGGGATAAATAAAGTGTCACTGTTGTTCTTACGAAAAGTCGCGGTCGTGAAACACGGCGGCGTGGCAAATCGTAAATTCCATTAAGTGTAGCGCGACGCGCGCACGCGCGCGAACGCCGGGCTGCTGTTACATCCGAGGACCCGGGGAGGATATACAGTTATATATATATATATATATATATACATCGCGACAAACAATACATAGAAACTATTACATACGAAACCGTACGTAGT